TCGGGATAACAGTATTCACAGTGGGTGAAAACAGTATATATGAAGGGAGGAAGGTTTTCTCGTACTGAACAAAGGAAACAATCGTCAGAAACTGGGGTTTAAAGGCCGGAAAAAGAAAAAGTCGTCGGAATTTAGTGAAACCGGCACGGGATGGCTCGGAAATGCCTCGAGAAGAGGTTGTCTGAAGAAAAAAAATTGAAAAGTCACCGGAAAAGGCCACATGTGCCGGCGCGTGGCTGAAAGCTCGCCGGAAAAACAGGCGAGTTGGCGGCGCTTGAGGGCGCGTGAGGGCTCAGTTGCCGGAGAAAATTACTGGGGTTTGGACGCGGGGAGCTTGGCTCTTGATGGGTGTGGTGGAAAATTAGGAAGAAGAAGAGATGGGAGAGGCTCGGCCATAGAAAGCACTGTTGCGAAGGCACTGTTGCGATGGCACTGTTGCGATGGCACTGTTGCGATTAGGGCACTTCTAGGCAGTCGTTGATACTTGAATATCTCTTTTGTTAAAAACAGATGGTTACAAAATTTATACTTTTGGAGTAAGAATAGTTCCATAGAGTATTTGGATTATCTTTTTGATTCCTCTGGAATACATGGGGAAATGATGTAACTATGCAACTGATGATCCCCTTCTGTAATTTGTAGTACCTCCTTATTACCTTTTCGGAAAAAATTGCACTACATCTTGGTAATAGCATTAATGAAATCTCCTACATTGTCAAAAAGAAAAAAGGCAAGATAGGAGAAAGATAAATGCTCAGAACTTAATCAATAAAATTTCAGTTAACACTACTCCACAAGTACATTATTTAGAAAATTTAACTCTAAGCATCACAAAAACACAACTTCCCAAATGCAATTAGACCATGTATGAGTTTCACAAATAGGTCTCATTGACAAAAAGAATTCAGATTATTTGTCTACTAAGTTGGAAATCCCATTAATCATAATTCTGTTTCACATCTCAACATAAATCATATTGTCTTCTGGTACACCAACCACTGAATCAGTTCAAAGCCACATTTTCACCTTGGTCATGATAAATTTGGATCCCTTACTGATGTTCAAGACGCATAACAACCAATGTTGAAAACATTAAACAGAAATGAAGTCTGGCATATTGTGTCCCAACCTACAGCAGAAAGCTTGTGTCCAAATCTACGTTTAAAGGTCATATCCAGTTGTGTCTGGTTCACACAAGTATAGCGGGAAAGATGCCAAAGACATAATGTAGACAAGAAAGGATGATAGAATCTAAACCAGATACAGGAGTAGTTTTGCCACCAAAAAGGATCAAGAGAAGTTTGAATACTTGCATATATATGATGACTGCCAGTCCAGGTCAGTACACTGCAATCAACAAATAGATGGAGAAGCTTCTCCTGAATTTTCAAGAATGAAATCTTTGTAGATTTTTTAGAAGGAGAAAAGGTTTCTTGTATTTATGTGTATTTCTTACATCAAGCAAAGGTATTTATACACTAGGTACTATGACTATTTTAGGAAGGAAAATAAATTACAATCAATCAGAATAAAATCAAATCTCAATCAGACTTTCTCAATCATAATCAAATCTTTCCTAATAATAAAGCCAATCAACACTCCCCCTCAAGTTGGTGCAAAGATTTCGCACATGCCCAACTTGCAAACCAGTGTATGAAAAGTCTGTTTGTTGAGGCCCTTGGTAAACACATCAGCTAACTGTTTTTTTGATGGCACATGAAACAAACTCAAGACACTAGTTGTAATTTTTCTTTGATGAAGTGTTGATCAATTTCCAAATGCTTTGTTCGGTCATGCTGGACTAGATTATGAGCTGTAGTGATGGCAGCCTTATTGTCACAGTACAAGGAAAGTTTTCGTTTTTCACAGAGTCTCAATTACTCTAGTAGCTTTTGTAGCCAAAGCAGTTCACAAACACCTTGGGCCATAGCTCTATATTTTGCCTCCGCACTTGATCTAGCAACTATACTTTGTTTCTTGCTTCTCCAAGTAACCAAGTTTCCTCCTACGAGCGTACATTAACCGGATGTAGATCTTCTGTCATCTAGAGATCCAGCTCAATCCGCGTCTGTAAAGGCTTCTATTTGGAGGTAATCATGTTTGAAGAAAAGTAGACCTTTCCCTGGAGTAGACTTCAGATACCGTAAAATGTGAAAGACAACTTGCATATGAGGATCTCGGGGATCATGCATGAACTGACTCACCAGGCTAACTGAAAAAGCTATGTCTGGTCTAGTGCGGGACAGTGTTGTCAAAGGCGCGGTTAAGCCCTGAAGCGAGGCTCAAAACATGTTGAGCGCTTCGCCTCGCTTAGCGGGCGCTTCAGTGTTGTCATCAAAGCTCTAAGGCATACTTTTCCTAGCCAATGAGCGTGATCCGGAAGAGGCGACACTAAACAATTGATATTTCACTTTATTATAAATTTTTTTCAAATTCTTTGTCCATATATTTGACATTCATGCTTATAGATATTAGTCTTGGACTACACATACATATTTGTCGTTTTTCTCCATTTGCGCCTTTCTTCATTAAAGCCCACGCTTTATTTACACTCTGCGCTTAAAGCCCCAACAGACCTTAGAGCTTTTTTGCACTTTTCGCCTTTGATAACACTGGTGTGAGAGATAAATGAGTCTTCCAACCAACCTCTGATATCTCTCATTATCAACTGACTCTCCATACCGCTTTTTAACTTGTGATTGCTTTCAACGAGCGATTCTGCGGGTCTACAACCTGTCATACCAGTTTCTTTCAGGAAATCCAGAATATACTTCCTCTAAGAAATAAAGATTCTTCTTTGATCTAGCAACCTCAATTCCCAAGAATTACTGCAATTTTCCTAGATCCTTGATCTCAAATTCATGTGCCAACAACTTCTTCAATTGGGTCATCTTCTCTTTGTCATCTCCTGTTATGTCATCAACATAAACTATGAGAAGAGTAAGTGTACCCGTATGATGTCTTATGAAGAGGGTGTGATCAGCATTGCTTTGTTGGTAACCAAAGGATATTATTGCTTTGCAGAATCTGTCAAACCAAGCTCTGGTAATTGCTTCAGTCTGTACAAGGCTTTCTTCAATCTGCATATCTTTCCTTGACTTTGTGCAGTATCTGTTAGCTAGTTATGAGTAAATAATCCTAGTCCCATGTGTAGTAGGAGTTGAATATGTCCTAATCCCATATGTAGTAGGAGTAGAATATGTATTATATATAGGGCTCATTGTAACATTGTTAAAAAGATAGATTTTCCTCCCGTGCATTCTCACATAGTATCAGAGCTTTAGTGAAAAAATTATCGTTGTGCGTCATTTCAGCGACATCCGCGAAGAAAGATCTCGTCACCGTGCAATTTTCTGACAACTTCGTCTTGTTCCCAGGGTTCAGCAGTGGTACTGTGCATATACCATTACCACCATCAGAACCGAAATCCTTGTGCGACCAAACCGCAGAAATTCTCGTCTCATATCGCAGGTGCGCGGCATTTCCGATTCTGCGCTGCCTCGTCGCTTCTGCGTAGAAAACATCGCACCTGCGATTGCGCAGATGCGGAAGGCTGTCCACATCTGCGACCTTCCTCCAGCTCTGCCCAGCTCGCTTCTGCGAGGTCGCACCTGCGCCCAAATTCCGCAGGTGCGATCCCAACAGGTGCTGCCCAGAAATAGCAGAATTTCCAGCACTTTCCTTCAAGTCCAAATTGCTCTGTTAACATTCCAAAATCCACCCGAGGCCCTCGGGACCTTAACCAATTATATCAAAATGTCCCAAAATACAATACGAACTTAGTCGAGGCTGGGCAAGCCTTCGCAAACGCGGACAAGGCTACGCGAGCGCGAAGAAAAAAGGGGGAGATGGGCCTAAGGCCATTTGGCCTACACGAACGCGTAGAAGCGGACGCGAACGCGAACGCGAGGGGTCTGGGCAGCCGGCCTTCGCGAACGCGATCAGAGTGTCGCGAAAGCGAAGAGGAAATTGGAGGCAGTGTTTCTTTGGCCTTCGCGATCGCGATGGTCTTTCCGCGATCGCGAAGAAGGGCGGACCTGGGCAGTGAAGTTTAAAAGACGAGATTTGGTCATTTTCCTCCATTTTTTATTTGGTTGGGCGATTTTTGGAGCTCTTGGAAGGGAGATTTTCGTCATCTATGTCAAGGTAAGTGATTCCCACCCATTGCAAGTTAAATACTTGGATTATATATGGATTTAGACTTGAAAATTTGTGAAAATTTGGGATTTTGAAGAAAAACCTAGAAATTGGCCAAAACCCCAGTCAGTCGCTCCAGCAAAAATCAGCAGAAAGTCCCTTACGCACCTCCAAACGCCGCCAAAACTAGGGTTCCGGCGAGCGACTGTTACTTTTCCGGCACGTGTGAGCCATTCCGGCCACTTTTGGACAAAACTTCTTCTGGACAACTTACTCGTCCAGTGATTCCGAGCCTACCCATATAAATTACATCAAATTTTAACGACTTTTATTTATTCCGGCGTGAACAGTGCACTTTTTCCGGCGTGAACATTGATTTCCAGAAAAGTTTCTATTTTCTGGTGATGTTTTAGAACCTATTTTGTAGTGTGGATTCGGCTTAATCTCACTATTTTCAAATTTCTCTGGCGACTTTTCGGCCAACTCCTATTTATCAGCAACCACCTGATTTTATTGCTCAGGAGGGGTCTAGTGGCCTTGTATGTTGCTTGCGCCGGTCACTTTATGGTCTAGAGCAGTCTCCTCGAGTCTGGTTTAGTAAGTTCAGCACAGTTATCCAAGAGTTTGGTATGACTCGTAGTGAAGTCGAATGATCAGCTTGCAGATATTTTTACCAAATTCCTCATTGGTCCTCGTATTAGTTACATATGTAACAAGCTCGGTACATATGATTTGTATGCACCAGCTTGAGGGGGAGTGTTAGATAGTTATGTGTAAATAATCCTAGTCTCATATGTAGTAGGAGTAGAATATGTCTTAATCCCATATGTAGGAGTAGAATATGTATTATATGTAGGGCTCATTGTATCATTGTTAAAAGATAGATTTTTCTCCCGTGCATTCTCACAGTATTAAATCCAGGAGGTATCTCCATATACACCATGAAGAAATGCATTCTTCACATCAAACTGTTGCAAGTCCCAATCAAGATTAGCTGTACAAGACAAAAGAATTCTAATATTGTTCATCTTAGCAACCGGGGCAAATGTCTCGTGATACACCTTATAAGTCTGAGTGAATCCCTTAGCCATCAATCTTGCTTTGAATCTTTCAATTGAGCCATCAGTTTTGTGTTTCATAATGAAGACCCATTTGCAGCCAACCAACTTCTTGTCTGATGGTGAAGTGACAAGTTCCCAAGTCTCATTTTTTGACAAGGCCTTCATTTCTTCAATCATAGCGTGCTTCCATTTAGGATCTGCAAAAGCTTCCCTCCAATTCTGAGGAATAGACACAGAAGAAATAGACAAGGCAAAGGCTCTATAGGTGGGAGATATAGAATTATAGGAGACAAAATTAGATAAAGGATGTTTGGTGGTGCAAGATCTGACTCCTTTTCTGTGAGCAATAGGTTCATCTAACTCATTAGGAAATGGAGATAACTCACCGGTAAAAGAAGGTTGAACTTCGGTAGATTGCATGATGGCTTCTTTTGCTCTATTTCTCCTTGAGTAAGTTTTAAAATCAGGCCTATCCAAACGCCCAATAGTTTGAATGATGCTGCTTCAGATTAGTAATACCATCCTGATCATTGCCAGTAATAATAATATCATCAACATAAACCACCAGATAAATACAAAGATTAAGAGCAGAATGCCAATAAAACACAGAGTGATCAGCTTCACTCTGAGTCATGCCAAATTCCTAAATAACTGTGTTGAACTTACCAAACCAAGCTCGAGGAGATTGCTTCAAACCATATAGCGACTTGTGCAATCGGCATACAAGACCACTAGACTCCCCATGAGCAACAAAATCAGGTGGTTGCTCCATATAAACTTCTTCCTCAAAATCACTGTGGAGAAAAGCATTCTTAATGTCTAACTGATAAAGAGGCCAATGACGTACAGCAGCCATGGACAAAAAGAGACGAACAGATGCTACTTTAGCCACGGGAGAGAAAATGTCACTATAATCAAGCCCAAAAATCTGAGTGTATCCTTTTGCAACAAGACGAGCCTTAAGCCGATCAACCTGGCCATCCGTGCCGACTTTGACTGCATAAACCCAACGACAACCAACAGTAGACTTACCTGAAGGAAGAGGAACAAGCTCCCAAGTGCCACTCGCATGTAAAGCAAACATCTCGTCAATCATAGCATGTCGTCATCCTGGATGAGATAGTGCCTCGCCTGTAGACTTCGGGATAGAAACAGTGGACAAAGTTGATATAAAAGCATAATGAGGTGATGACAGACGATGATAACTTAAAACGACATAATGAGGATTAGGATTAAGTGTGGATAGTACACCTTTGCGGAATGCAATTGGTTGACTAAGAGGAGACAAGTCCGCAGTAGGTGCAGAATCTGATGCAAGACGTGAATCACATGGGCCTAATGCTGGACGTGGACGACGATGATAAGTCAAGAGTGGTGGAGCTGCAGAGGGTTGAACTGGACTAGGAGGTGAAACTGGAACTATAGGTGGTGGAACTAGAGCTATAGGTGGTAGAACCGGAGCTGGAGCTGTAGGTGGTGGAGCTAGAGTTGTAGAGGAAGATGAATGGGAGATAGTGACTGAATCTCTAAAAGATGAAACTGATAGCACCTCAGAAATATCTAAGTGATTACCTGAACCTGTGAAGTATGATTGGGTTTCAAAGAAGGTAATATCAGCGGACATAAGGTATCGCTGGAGGTCAGGAGAATAGCATCGATGCCTCTTTTGCATTCTCGAGTAACCCAGAAATACGCACTTAATAGCACGTGGAGCTAACTTATCTTTTCCTATAGTAAGATTATGAACAAAACACGTGCTTCCAAAGACACGGGGTGGAAGAGAGAACAAAGGTAAGTGGGAAAACAGGACAGAGAATGGAACTTGATCTGGATAGCTGAAGATGGCATACAATTAATAAGATAGCAAGATGTAAGAACTGCATCCCCCGAAAACACAACGGAACATGAGATTGTATGAGTAGGGTACGAGCAGTTTCAATAAGATGTCTATTCTTTCTTTCAGCTACCCAATTTTGTTGAGATGTGTACGGACAAGATGTTTGATGAATAATCCCGTGAGAGTTCATAAACTGCTGAAATGGGGAAGACAAATACTGTAGGACATTATCACTACGAAATGTACAGATAGAAACCCCAAATTGATTTTAAATTCCAGCGTGGAAGGTCTGGAAAATAGAAAACAACTCAGATCGATTTTTCATCAAAAATATCCAAGCGCACCTGGAATAATCATCAATGAAACTGACAAAGTAGCGGAATCCCAAGGTATAACTAACCCGACTAGGACCCCAACATCTGAATGGACTAAAGTAAAAGGTGACTCTGCTCGATTATCAAGACACCGAGAGAAATGGGAGCGGATATGCTTACCGAGCTGACATGACTCGCACTCTAGAGTGGACAAGTGAGATAAACCAGGTACCATTTTCTGAAGTTTTGACAAACTGGGAGATCCCAACCGTTTATGTAATAAATCTGGTGAATCAGTAACAGGACAAGTTGTTGAAGGAAGACAAGATGTGAGTCCATGTGATTTAGCAAGGATAACGTAATAAAGTCCATTTGATTCACATCACATACCAATGATCCGCCCCGTACTGCGTTCCTGTATAAAAACAAGGTCATCAAGAAATAAAACAGCGCATTTAAGTTATTTGGCTAAGCGACTAATAGTTATGAGATTAAAAGGACTACTGGGAACATAAAGAACTGAATCTAAAGGTAAGGAAGGAAGTGGGCTTGCTTGGCTTATTGCAGTTGCCATGGTTGGAGACCCATTGGCCATTGTGACTGTTAAAAGAGATTGAGAATACGAAATAGTAGTGAAAAGAGATTTGTTACCAGAAATATGATCCGATACACCTGAATCAATGACCCAAGACTCAGAGGGTGAAGATTGGGAGACACAAGTCACGCTATTACCTGTTTGAACAACAGAATATCTCAGAAGATGTCTGCTTACATGCTTTGTACTGAAGGAACTCAATATAATCCGCTAAAAAAACCATCCAACCATTCAAAGTATCGGTTCCCATTTTGTTACGACCAAAATTCTAACAACCTCCGTGAGGCCTAGCTAACTCCCAAAGTGTAAGAGAAACTACTGTTCACTTTTCACTATTTCACTGTTACTGTTCACCGGAAAACACTGTAGCTCGCCGGAAAATAAAAAAGTCGTCGGAATCTGATGTAACCTTGATGGGTAGGCTCGGAAAAGCCTCGCGATCAGGCTGTCCTGAAGAAGGTCGACCAAAAAATGGCCGAAAACAGGTACACGCACCGGCGCGTGAGACAGACGCGCCGCTAGAAACCCTTCTCTGACCGGCGCGTGAGGGCGCGTGGAGGGGCCTTTTCCGGAGATTTTTTTCTGGGGTTTGGTCGCCTCTGTCTTAGGGACCTTGTGGTGGTGTTGGATTTTACACAACACCAAGGAAAAATGATTTTGTTGCTGACAGCCTCCTAAGTCGCCGGAAAATTGCACGGCGACGAGGTCTTTCTTCCTAGAAGTCGTTGGAATGATGCACAGCGATAAATTTCTTACTATTGCTCTGATATCATGTGAGAAAGCACGGGAGAAAATATTATTGATTATCTAAAGTGTTGTACAACGCCCTTTATATACAGTGATAACATAATAATAGGTATCTACTTCCCGATGTGGGACACTATACATGACTAACTACTTAACAGTTTCCTCAGCCACCGTCTTTTTGGGAGCACATGTTTCGTTCATAACTTAGCTCCTGGAAAAAATAAATTAGTTCCTCATGCTTTCAAGTGTATCTTCCTTGGTCATTCTCGGGTTCAAAAGGGATATAGTTACTACTCACTTGATCTTCGTAGTACCTTATGTCCGTCGATGACACATTGTTTGAGTCTCGATCTTACTTTACTTCTTACCATCATTAAATATCAGAGGTCATACCTATACTATTTTTTGGCGATTCTACTTTTGCTCCTATTTCCCCAACCACAGGGCTACAACTCTTGACATATCATCGTCCTCCGCATCCGGCCTAGATGATTCACTTCCTACACCAAACATTGCACCTGCTTTGAACTTGTTTACTCCTAGTCCACTGATTACACTTTGGACTACTAATCCCCATTATACCTTTTTAAGTATCATCATTTGTCATCACCGCATTATGCTTTTCCAACAAAGTAACAAGTTCCATTATGTTAAATAAATCTTCAACACAAGGGAAGTCTTCCCTGGAAGCCAAAAAGATGATTTACAACAAAAGTCAACACATAACCCTTGCTCTTCTTACAAGGAGTCTAAAACCTTTAAAAGTGAATCTAAATCATCAATGTAATCAACTTTACACCAAAAACATAAAGAAATGCAGTTCATGTTGATCTTCTAAATATTGTTAGTTGTATCTTCAAAGCATCTTGCATTTTTCTCCTCCAAATAATCCACCAAATAGTTGCTGGGACAATTTTCCCTCTGTCTTTATTGGTGGTAAATTTTCCCCCTCCATTCCAGCTTGACAGCAAAGTAGGTGTTCTTCCTAGCATTGTCCATCTAATACCCCTAAGGTTGATGAACAAATCTCACAACTGACAAGTCCCTTTGCAATGTAGGAACATATGGCTGACTGTCTCTGCCTCTTGGCCACATAGGTAGCATCTTGAACAAATTACCGTACCCCTTTTCATTAGGTTGCCCCGACTTAGAACAGCTTCTTTCACAACCAGCCAAGTAAAGCATGTCGCTTTAAATGGCATCTTTATTCTGCAAATATGTTTCCATGGCCATAAGTTGACTTGACCTATCCTGGTTCAGATCTTTGTAGGCTAAGCTGACTCTGTAGATTTCCATGCTATGTTTCTCCCAACTGAGTGTATCTTCCCCCTCTTGTTGCATATCTCCAGAGTTCTAAAGAAATCTGCTATTCTGGGCAGCTTCCCGTCATGTAAAGGTCATCTGAATGTAATGTTCCATCCTGTAGAGACAAAAGCCCCTGCAAAGTAGCTCCCTTTTGTTGATTCAGCTCAAGATCAGGGAAGAGTTGCTTAAGGCTCCCAATTCTCAACCAGTTATCCTCCGAAAATAAAGTTTTCCTACCATCCTTTATATTAAACCTCAGCTTGTCAGCAAGGGATAGTCGTACGTTCCTGATTGTTCTCCAGACACTGGTGACATAAGGGTTGTTCACCTGTTTTGTCATCCAACATCCTTTTTTATTTTTTCATATTTTGCCTTTATCACCATGCCCCATAGTACTTCCTCCTCCCTTGTGAACCTCCACAACCACTTCATCAATAGATACTTATTGTGCTTTGTCAGGTTCCTAATCCCCAGCCCCCTTTTATGTTTGTCAATGGTCAAAGTTTTCCATTTAACCAAATGGAATCCTTTTTTTCTCTTTATTTCCATGACAAAGGAAATTTTTTCTTAGACTGTCCAACCTTATTTCTATACTAGAACAACAACAACAACAACAACATACCCAATGGAATCCCACAAGTGGGGTCTAGAGAGGGTAATGTATACGCAAACCTTACCCCTACCTTAGGGAGGTAGAGAGGATGTTTCCAATAGACCCTCGGCTCAAGAATAGTGAAAAAGAAACAATAAACAATCATAGCAACAGCAAAGTAATAAGACAACGGAAGCAAACGGCCTAGTGTGCATTAACATTGATCTAGGAATGCGAAAGTACAAGAATAGTACCAATACTACAGGTAGAAATGACACATCGTGTGATAACAAGGAAGAGCTAGGACTAGGATAATACAAGACTAGTACTAATACTACTGGTAGAACTAGAAGAAACTCTCGACTACATGTCAACCCACAGACCTCCACACCTTCCTATCGAGGGTCATGTCCTCAGTAAGTTGAAGTAGTGCCATGTCCTGCCTAATCACCTCTCCCTCAGTACTTCTTAGGCCTCCTTTTACCCCTCCTATGGCCCGCCTTGGTCAACCTCTCACACCTCCTAACCGGGGCACCGGTGTCTCTCCTCTTCACATGTCCGAACCATCTCAACCTCGACTCCCACAACTTGTCTTCCACAGGAGCCACACCCACCTTGTCCCTAATCACCTCATTCTTAATCATATCCTTCCTGGTATGCCCACACATCCATCTCAACATCCTCATCTCTGCTACTCTAATATTTCTTGGCCAACACTCGGCTCCATAAAACATAGTCGGTCTAACTACTGCTCTGTAAAACTTGCCCTTAAGTCTTGGTGGCATATTCCTATCACACAAAACACTAGAAGCGAGCCTCCATTTCATTCTTCCCGCCCCAATGCGATGTGTAACAACCTCGTCAATCTCCCCATTACCTTGAATTCCAGACCCAAAATACTTGAAACTATCTCTCTTGGAAATGACTTGTGTATCAAGCCTCACGTCCACATCTGTTTCTCATGCCCCAATATTGAACTTGCACTCTAAGTACTCTGTTTTCGTTCTACTCAACTTGAAACCTTTAGACTCCACGATCTGTTACCACACCTCCAGCCTAGCGTTAACCCCGCTACGCGTCTCGTCAACCAACACTATGTCATCTGCAAATAACATACACCATGGCACCTCCCCTTGCATATGTCGCGTCAGTACATCCATCGCCAGGGCAAATAAAAAAGGGCTAAGCGCTAAGCCCTGGTGCAACCCCATCACCACTATAAAATAATTTGAGTCTCCTCTCATAGTTTTCACCCGAATCTTAGCTCCATCGTACATGTCCTTAATCACCCTGATGTACGGTACCGACACACCACTAACCTCCAAACATCTCCATAGCACCTCCCTTGGGACTTTGTCGTAGGCTTTTTCTAGGTCAATGAACACCACATGCAAGTGCTTCTTCTTTTTTCCTATATTGATCCATCAACCTCTTCACAAGATGAATGGCTTCTTTAGTTGATTGCCCCGATATGAAACCGAACTGATTCTCCAAAATAGACATACTCATCCTCACCCTCCTCTCCACCATCATCTTCCAAACTTCCATAGTATGACTCAGCAACTTGATGCCCCTATAGTTGTTTGTTACAATTCTAGATATCGCCCTTGTTCTTGTACAACGGGACCATCAAACTCCACCTTCATTCTTCGGGCATCTTTTTTGTCCTAAAAATGACATTAAACAATTCAGTCAGCCACTCCAATCCTGCCCGTTCTGCTTCCTTCCAAAATTCCACATCGTCAGGCCCAGTCGCCCTACCCCTATTCATCTTCCGCATCACCTCCTCAACCCTAATACGCCTACAAACCTCAAAATCACACTGGCTTTCTGAGTTCTCCAACACACCAAGCACGATGTTCCTGTCCCCACCCTCGTTCAAAAGTTTATGAAAGTATGTTTGCCATCTGCGCCTAATACACACCTCATCCACCAATACCTTGCCTTCCTCGTCTTTGATGCATCTCACTTGGTCTAGGTCCCGGGCCTTCCTCTCTCTAACCTTGGCTAACCTGAACAGTTTCTTGTCATCGCCCATGCACCCGAGTTCCTCATATAAACGTTCAAACGATGCAGTCTTAGCCGCCGTGATCGCTAACTTTGCCTCTTTCTTTGCCTTCTTATAACACTCCATATTGGTTCTCTTCTCCTCGTCGACGCTCTCTACTAGCTTCACATATGCTGCTTTCTTGGCTTCCACTATTCCTTTGACCTCCCCGTTCCACCACTAGTCCCCTTTGTGGCCCTCCGGGTAACCCTTCGTGACCCCTAACACCTCTTTAGCAGCAATCCTAATGCAATCCGCTATCGTGGTCCACATACTACTCGCGTCCCCACTACTCCTCTAGGCCCCCCCTAGCCAACAACTTGTCCCTCAATTCTTAGGTTTTATCCTTAGTCAGGGCTCCCCACTTGATCTTAGGCTTACCAGGCACCGCTCTCTTCTTCCTCTCTCTCCTGATCTCCAAGTCCATCACAAAAAAACCTATGTTATGTCAATAGCCACTCACTCGGAATAACCTTGCAATCAGTGCATAAACCTCTATCACTCTTCTTGCAGAAAAGGTAAGCAATTTAAGTCTTGGCCACCGTACTCCGGAACGTGACCAAGTGGTCCTCCCTCTTCTAAAAGCACGAGTTAGCTACTACTAGATCGAATTTCTATACTGGAAGGGACGGGAAATAAGGACATCATGTAGGTAGGAAAGCATCCAGTACAAAGTTTACAACTATCAGTCTTCCACCCAAAGAGATATAATTTGACTTCCATCTTGCTAACCTTTTTTCACACCTTTCCAAGATTTTACTCCAAATATCTTTGGGTTTGCTTTTAGCTCCCAAAGACATCCCCAAATAAATGGTTGGAATAGTTCCAATCTCCCCTCCCAATATAAACGTCAACTGCTGAATATTTGGTACTTCATTTACAGGAAAAATCTAGCTCTTCCTCCAGATGATATATAGCCGAGAGATGGCTTCAAAAAGAATCATGATGACTCTAAGATACTTAACTTGGCTCTCTTCTGCATCACAAAAGATTAGTGTGTCATCTGCATATTGAAAGTGAGTTACCTCCGGCCTAGAAGCCTGATGTTTTGCCACATTGAACTCCCTGATCAATCCATTACCCTTAGCAGTTTTTAACATATTGTTCAGACCTTCCATAGCTAAAATGAAAAGGAAAGATGATAGAGGGTCACCCAGTCTTAATCCTCTTTGAGAGGGGAAAAAACTTGCAGGCGAACCATTAATTAATATGGAGATCTTGATTGTACCTATACAGAATCTAATCCAACTTATCCATTTCTTCCAAAGCCCATTTTATGAAGGATCCCCAACACTAAGTCCTAGTTCACATAGTCATATGCTTTCTCAATGTCTAACTTGCACATAATTCCTGGCATCTTCTCCTTGAGCCTTAAGTCTAAGCATTCATTAGCAATTACGACAGCATCTATGATTTGTCTCCCTTTTATGAAGGCCATTTGCTGAGAGTCTATCAACTTGTACATCACTTTTTTCAGCCTTCCAGTAACTTAGATATCAACTTATCGATGCTTCCAATAAGACTGATAGGCATTAAGTCTCTTAATTCATTGGCTCCACTCTTTTTAGGAATCAGAGCCACATGTGGTATTAAAACTCTTTTCAAAAAAATCCTGAGAACAAACCAGTTGCATTATGTCAGCCTTGATTACTTGCCTGCACTTGATAAAGAAGCCCATAAAAGAGATCATAATATTAATCCAACGGAATAAGACATAAAAGGGTACATGTTTCCCTCAGTTTTAGGAATTAGAGCCGCATATGGTATTAAAACTCTTTTCAATAAAATCCTGAGAACGAACCAATTGCATTATGTCAGCCTTGATTACTTGTCTGCACTTGATAAAGAAGCACATAAAAGAGATCATAATAGTAATCCAACGGAATAAGACATAAAAGAGTACATGTTTCCCTCAGTTTTAAAAGACAAGAAGGCAAAAATTCCTCTTCCAATTTTCTTTCTCCCTCATAGTCCCTTACCCTTTTGCTCTTACCCCCCAAGCCTCCTCCGTTTCAGCCACCCAAACGTTAAGTCTCTTCTCCCGTTTTTCAGTGTCGCATTATCTATATTTCTCTTGTTGGGTTTTCTTCTATGGTTTTCCCTTTCTACTTTTTTATCTTGAAAATTTCTTCTTTTGCCACAATCATGTTCTTTTAATTTCCTCCTTTTTTGGGTCTTGCGTTATCTCTCTTTTACTTTTTGCTTTATTGTTCTGGAGAATTACAAGGTAGGGGGAAGGCTTCGTACACACTACCCTCCCCAGACCCCGCTATGTGGGATTATACTGGGTTTGTTGTTGTTGTTGTTCTAGAGCAAATATTATTGGTGAAAATATGAGTTTTTGGCAATTTTTTTACACATCAGAACAATTGCTTCAGTGGCTACACTTGTGAATTAAATTTTTTATTCAGGTTGAAAGAGATGTAGACTAGATATATATAAGGATCACACGAGTAGTGTTATTTACCAAACACATATCCAAGTGTAGCGAGATCATTCATTAACCCCTCAACACTGTCCAGTCAGGAGGGATAGTTAATCCAGACTATCCCATTATGGGCTACACGACCCTGGTGCTTTATGTACCCCCAAAGATGTATTTCCTCCTACTTTAGATATTCACAAGCTAACTGATTGTTTTTATAAGTCAGTAGCCAATTGAATGTTTCATCTTCAACACTCATTTCTTTTGAAATATGTAGATGTAGGTCTAACTGGCTGACTCATATAATGAGAGATTACTAGACTTTATGAAAAGGTGAGAAAGGAAGGGACTTTATAGGCGTATAAGAGCAATATGGCTTCTTAAAGAAAGGGAGAGCAATGTGGCTTCTTGTAACAGCACTCATGTTGCAAAAATCAATTTACAGGCTTGTTGTAACTCTTTTTAAAATTTGAAACAATAGAAGAACTATGTAAATTTACAGCATTGCCTCCTCCATTACGGAGCCTTATTGTGATTTATTTGGAATTCTATAGAGTCACAACTAATTTCTATGAGAAGGTAACGAGGAATGGGAAGAGATGGCAATGCACATCCAATAAGGAGAAATTTGGACACGAACTCTGTCCCGCACATAAGATAAAGGAAAAGATAAGTCTTAGATACCTGATTATAGCATAGCTTATAAGCACCATAAATAACATTGACTTCCATGGATTTTTCCATGAAGCTAATTGTTGAAGGTGGTTAATTGATTCGAAGAGAGGGAAAAGCAGCTCCTGTGAAGAAAAAAAAGGTGATCTTGAGGAATGAGGAAACATTATGTACTATTAGTTCTACGACTAGTAAGTTTCTAAACAGCAATGATGCATCACAAATCAAGTATCCCATTTATGAAGTGATACTCTTCAAAGATGAGGTGCAGGAACTCGTTTCAAATTTTAAGAACAAGAAGCAAAGCCAACGAAGTATCCTCATTAATGAAGTGATACTTTCAAAGATGAGGTGCAGGCACTCCTCAGTTCTAATTTTACAACAATAAGCAAAGCCAACCAAAGGATGCCACAAATTAGTGGAGCTGCTAACTACTCTAAAAACAAAAGACATATGAACTGCTGAACAACAATCAAGCTACGTTCTTAATTCCCTAGAAAAAAAAGAACTGCAGCTTTTCAGATTTGCACCATTTTTAACCATAGGATCGACTGAAGTAACTCACAATTTAAGGCAGCATTCCTGTTCGAGGAACTGTCCTTAGCAGGGATCAACTATCAAGAACAGAACAAGTAGCAGCAATCTCCAGGATCACAGGAACGATACGTTAAGCAAAAAGAGAAAGACAAAGGAGTTCACTGCACACCTTCATTACAGCTAAATTAGTATCAATTCCTTCAACTTTGACTTGGTCAACTGTTGCCTGTGCAGCTTCAGCCCTTCCAATGTTCTTCATTGACTGCTTGACAGCATTTTCCAGAGGATTTACCTCACCAACACAGACATCTCCAACCAAATTTGTTGCTTCTCCAATTATGTCAACCTCCTTGCATGAGATAATACCAAGTCTACAAAGTGACACCCGTGATACTGGGTGTATCACCTGTCTCCTTGCACTAGGAGAACCCAATAATCCACGATGATTGCCGACAGATTTCATGAGTGTCAAGCGGCTTGATAAAGTTTCCAAGATCGCATCTCCTCTAGGAAGACTTTCTGCCAAGTTAAAACACAGTAGGGTTTTATAGTTGGAAGAAGATACCTTAAAAGCCTCTCTTACTGCCCTGTATCGGTAAATTCCAAGAACAGCCCTAGCGAGTGCTTCAAACTGCTGACCCTCTTTGATATTATACTTCCGAGTAAATTTGTGAGCATGGAAAATTTCAAGACAGATATCCAACCAATAGTCCCGTCTTGAACTTCCTTTAAATTCCGGAAATTCAAAATATGCAGGATCTACCCTGTACAAACTTAACGTTAGTAGTCCCTGGTGAGTTAGGATACATAGCTTCAACTGAAAACATGAAACTTACATAGATGACGACTTGTACATAACAGCTTTGTCAAAGAGGCGAGCACCTAAAGGTCCAGTTAGCTCAGGCTTAATGATCTGTTTCAAGTCAGATGCTAGATCAAATCGCACTGCTTTATCATATAAGCCCATTCCAGACTCAAAGTAGAGAGCATAGTTGGTTAATGTCAACCTTCCTGGATGAAAGGGAAAATGGAAGAATAAAGCATCTTAGCAACTAAGGGGGGGAAAAAAGGCAAAGGACTAAATATACAACAAACGATCAGTAGACAGATAGATTTCTTTTTCTTCTTCTCTATGAGTAAACAGATAGTTCTTAACTAGCAGTTGATAAGTACAAATATTTTCACTTGCCCAACGTAGGTGATCACCTTCCCTTGTAAAGTGAAGGTGTAATTGTTTATGGTATTTGCTTATATCAAACCCTATATGAATCATCATCATCAGGCGGAAAGTTCTAGAAATATGCTTCTTCATAAAGTCTTTTCGGATCAAAGTTGTTCTTGGTAGGTGGGGAACAATATAAAAGTGAAGGTCCAAATGTATAATAGCTAATGATATTTGCCTATATCTAACTCTATACAAATTATCATCAGAAGTAAAGTTCTGAAAATATGCTTCTTCATGAAGTCTTTTTTTTCTTTCCGAGAAAAGGTAAGTTTGTCACAAAGTTTTTACAACAACAACAACAACAAACCCAGCTTAATCCCATACGTGGGGTCTGGGGAGGGTAGTGTGTACGCAGCCTTACCCCTACCCTATAAAGGCAGAGAGGTTGGTTCCGATAGACCCTCGGCTTAAGGAACGGTAAAAATAAAGCAATTTGTCATGAAGTCTTTACGATCAAAATTGTTCTTGGTAAGCTTTGATTAAGAAATAGATAAGTCTCCTAAATGAGTGAACAGATCAAATTTCTATTGGAAATCCGTATTTGCAGTATTAGAATCAACAAAAAAAGCACCTAAACCTTCACTTAGTTCAAGAAATTATTAAGCTTGATAGCTTTGTTAATAGATACAGTCAAACCTCTCTATAACATCCACCTTCTATAACAATTTCACTATAACAACCAATTTTTCTTTAAAATCAATTCTTTATGTTATATGTTACCTCTCTGCAACAGCTTTCTACCTATAATAGCAACAACCATCAATATAACAGTACACTTTTTGTAAACTTACCCCTCTATGACAACCTTACTCAAATATTGAGTGATTTTACTATTTTCCACTTCTGTTGCTAGTCATTTATTTTCATGATAAAGAAAGCACTAGTGCGGCTTTGCTATCATAACCACATATTGAACTAGAGTCTCTTAGATTACTAATAAAAGGTCTAGAGATTTTGAACAAATATTTTGGAACTTTAATACACCATTTTTGACAAAGAATATTACATCAATACTTACTTCAATCATTAAGGATTTTTCCGTTGAAAGATGAACATATTTATATCCCATTGGGTAAGAGTTCACCATCTTTTAATTAGTGAAATATGAATATCTTTTGAGATTTTAAATTTAAATAATCTTTTTATCTTTTATAACATTATGAAAAGCAAACTGATATTTTATATATTTTTGTGACCGCCAAATAAGATTTAAATGTCAAATGTTGTTATAGGTGTATATTAGCCAATCGCTATAACCAAAAAAAAAAACGGAACAAGCGTGGCTTGACTGTATATCAAACATGATAAATAGCACAATTTATTTTCTGGATTTGATTTATCTGATTATTTTGCATTTGACAATTCAAGATCCCTGGAATTCTTTTAACCGATGTTTGATATGGATTAAAGTCAAAATAGTCAACCAACAGACTCCTTATCCTCCAATTCCCATATTTGGTATAGTATTAAAAGTCAAATTAGCCAATTATCAAACTTAGTATTCTTCAATTCCCTAGTTATCTTGTTTAGACGGGTTGATATTAGTATCAAATTTAGGAATCCCACATGTAATACATCTTAAATTACTGTTATCATCCCGCCTAAAATTAAGGTGAGGGTCAACCTTTTCTTCATTCCTCTTCTCCTCTTCATCTCCCTCCAAAAGCAGCAGCCACCATTTCCCTTCAGACTCCACGTTCTTTTAGTTTGGTTTGCTTCCCGTTTACCTCATTTATCTTGTTCATACCTACCCAAAGTTATCGTCTTCTACCCCACCTTCTGCTAATAATCTTTCCCTTCCCTTACACAACTGTCCCATCACCTCCGACCACTCCCCCTTCCCTCCACATCGTCAATGTTCTTATTTTCTTGCCTTCAATTTCTTTTTCTTTTTTTTGGTTTCCCACCCGGTGTCCGGTATCCACATTGGGGCCCGACTAAATCCGGATTCGCGCCGGGAAGTCCCACATTGGGGGGGTAAAGCACTCCCTAACAAAGGCGACACCATACCCAGGGACTCGAACCCGAGACCTCTGGTTAAGGATGAAGGAGTATTTGCCACTCCACCACAACCCTTGTTGGTTCTTGCCCTTCAATTTCCTTCCTCTTCTTCCCTTCCATATTACCCACACGTGCTTTTTTCCTTCCTTTTTTACCTTTTTCTTATTTTTCCCTTTTCAAAAATTCAAAAACTTTAAAAATGAGCATTTACAGTTCACCTGAAATGGCAAGTCTCGTTCGTTCGTCTACCCTTTTTTTTTTTTTTGAAA